GCTCAGAAACCCCCTTGGGGCTTAAGAGGTTAAAGAGCATCAAATAAAAGGAGAAAGACGCACCAGATCTGTGTTGTTCCAGAACCAGACTGAAGTACCTTCTAAAGGATCACCAATGATGTCTGTGCTGTTTTCTGCAAGAAAACAACAAAACATGTTTCCTCTCAGCATGAGATCTGTAATACGTTTAATAAGTTTTACCATGGAAAAGGTTTCCAAGGTGACACGACTGAAATCTTATATGGAAAATTAATTTTAAAAGATTTGACGTCTTTATAGATTTATGACATTCGACAATCCGCCTGGTAAACTCTGGTCAAGGTTAAGATACTTACAGTACAGTACAAAGCTCAGCTATGACTTAACTTGTTACAGTGATTATTTTGCATTCATTGTGATACTATCTCAATATAAGTATTAGCTATCATGTTAAACAGCCGGTGTTACCTGGGTGCATCCGAATGTCAAAGACAATTAGCAGCAATCTGCTAACAATGACCTCAACAGCTACTTCACTTCAGTAATGTCCCATCTACACAGAACAGCTTGAAGCAGACGTAATAAGTGTTCAGACAATCTGACATTGAGACATCGATGCTTGTAACTTCTTGTAATCTGACACAAAGGATACAAACGTTTTATGCATTTATGTCTGCTAGGAAACTGTAGACCAAGCCGCAGAAGAAGCAGCGACAATAAGAGGGAAAAGCATCAATACAGCCTGACAGCTATGATTAGGATAAACTCGTTTTTTATAGGTTAGCTTTTCCTTCATCTTTACCTTTGCTTTGGGCCATAATTTGGTTGATGTCTGTGTGAACATGTGCATTTAGCTTTAATGTAAAATTCAAACTGAAACACTTTATTAATCGTGTTTACACAAATAAAAAGTACAGCTGTAGCAAATCTGATTAAAGAAAATCCACATGTGTACTGCTGCCTTTGCACCATAGACCTTTAGTTATGAATGCACTGCTGCTAGGGGTGGGGGAAAAATGGATACTGTGTAGCATGGTGATATTTTGTTTGCTAATAATGTATCAATACAGGGACAGCAGAAATCGATATTTTGTTACAAAAAGGTTTTTGTGCTCTGACTTCAGAGCATGTTGATCCTTTTTCTGAGCAAGAATCCTGACATTCCTTCACTGTCCAAATGTGTTTAACTTTTTTTTTGCAGCAATAAACATGACAGTTTACTTATTTTAATTTAAGACATGTTTTATTTTAATTAAGTTTAAAACTTTTTAATGTAAAATTATATTTTGTTTTAATTTACTTTCAAATTCTTCAGTTGCTGAAGGGGCTGCATAGTTTTCATAAACTGCATAGTTCAGAATAGCTATAATTGTACCAGATGGTTGATTCAGTTAAGTTGGACTAGACTGTAATACAAACCGTTCAGTTTGTCAACAATCAAACTGAAATGAGAGAAAGACTGAGTGTGAGACTTTGATATTAGAGAAAATGATTATTGATAAAGTTTACCTTTATGTACAGAATCTGAATATCGCAAAATATTTTTAAAAATTGCAATAATATCGTATCGTGGGATGTATGGTGATTCCCACCTCTAACTGCTGGTTTACCTAACTTTATGCCAGTGGACTGGACTATCCACACAACTGTCGTTTTCTCTTTTCTATATTACACAATGCAGCATTACTGTAAGCTGAACAGCACCAGCTGTGTTAAATTAAACCTCTGTTTAATTAGACATTAAACGCATCATATTGGTTTAAAAATTCTCTTATTCTCACAAGAAGATAAATTTCATGCATTCTTCTTAAAGATTCTGGCAAAACCTGTAACATTGAATAGCAGACCTGCTCATTGGCATGCATGGACAAAACAGACTGTACAGTGTGTAGATATGCCTTTAATTTACTAACTACTCACCCAAGACAGTAGGAGCCATGCAGAGGCAGTCGTACTGCGTGACATAGTCCATTGTGAAGTCAGGGTTGATTGGATAATGATGAGCTAATTTGATCATCTTCTTGAAGGCATCGTAGATAAAGATGAAGCTGATGAGACAGGAGAAGCCCTCCTCAGTGAAGCGGGTGAAGTACTGGACCAAGTAGCTGGCATCAGTCGCCACGAGCAGCAGGCAGAAGAAAGCCGACCACAGGCCGATCCACAGGCGGAACTCCAAGTAGTCAAACTCATTATCTCTAAAAAAAAGGGGGGGGGCAATGAGTCATACGATGGGACGGGGATGTGACTTTCAGAGTAAAACAACAGTAGTATTATTGGAATTATAGACACTGAACACAATTTGCACAAAAACAGCACAAAAAACTGTGAATATTGTTTCTTAAAAAGATGTAAAACTCAACATAAGCACAACTTATTGTGCTTTTCCTTATTTTGTGTTGAGTGCTGTTGTCATGAGGTCAGAGCAGATGTAGCTAATGTGGCCGTGCAGGAAGCTCTGCACCACCTGCCCTTTACTCAAACCACTTCAAGAGGCAGCAAATGAGAATTGAGCTGGATTAAACAGAGCTAACAGCCTTATTTCTGAATCAGCTAAGAATTGCACTGAAGCATGGTTAGAAGTATAAATAAGGATCATTTTAAACTGTGTGGCAGAGTCCAAGAATAAAATGCATCGCCTTTAACAGAATCAAAAAGACACAGGGACAGCTGAGATCTTCTAAAACACAGGGCAGTAATCAGGCATCTAAAAAACAGAGAATGGAGACCTACTTGCTGAAGTTGAAAAGCAGCCGTTCAAACACCAAAACGGGGCCAGTGCTGCTGAGGATGATGAGAGGCTGACCACCCAGCAGACAGAAAACGCCACCAGCGATGGCCGTGCCCAGAAAACTCTCCAGCACACCCTGCACACATGTTGGAAAGCAGTCAGGGAAACGCTCAGAGCATAAATGGTGAACGCTCTTCAAACCGTCGCATGGTTCAAAAGCCCGACCTGCATGTTCTCCGTAGCGTCTCCCAGCAGACCACCGAAGGTGATGGCGTTCGTTACAGTTCCCAGGTAAATAAACATAATAGCCGACAGGGCCTGAATGTGAAACGCGTCGGTGAAGTCACTGACGAAGAAAGGCGCTTTTCTCTTAATGTCAAGTTTGAGACCCCCACAAAACCTGAAATAGGACAAACCAAAAGGCGAGTCGCTGTCAGTGGTATTGAATTCACACACCGCGACACTGGACAGTGAATATTTCACTCAATATTCAATATGTTAGGTAAAAACAGTACAGTTGCAGATGTCATTGCTTTGTTCAAAGTGTCATACTTTCCCGTCTTCCTGAGCTCTTCGCCTACAGCATGTCCTCCTCCATGACCTCCATCGTGAGGCATGTCTCCGTTCATCTGGGAGTCGCCTCCTGCATACATGTTTTTCCTGAAATATATATGAAGGCACGGATTTGTTCAGCAGCAGGAAGTCAGAGTGCCTGATCCAGGTCATACAGATCCTGGTACGTGCTGGGAGATCGATCAGCGCTCACATAGAAGGTCGAGTTATTCTAGAGCTACTACATGCCAGCTTTATATAACCAGCTCTTTCATAATTGAACACTGTTGTCCACCTGGATGCACCTCAGTGATTTTACTCTCCTGGAACGTCTCATTTTTCCTCATTTTTCCTCATTTTTCAGTCTTTTATCTACAAGCGTCTTCTAATCTTGCACTGGTCCTCTGTGGATTTGTGTTAACATCTAGACAGACATATTTTGTGACTTTGGGTCACATGAAGTGTGCATGTTAGATGAAGTGTTTGTGCTGACACAGGTTTAAACCAGTCAACTCTTTTGGTTTCAGATAAGATCACAGTGACAACTTCCCTCTGAACCACTAACGCTTATTTTTTAATAGATTTTTTTCCCACAAACTCTGATATGACCCATTCTGCGTATCTTCTTTAGTGACAGGCAGTTTTTTCTTCAATCATCAAATCTGAATCATGTAAAACAGACAAGTTTGAGCTCACTGACCTTTTGTCAGAGGAGGGGAGGGATTTTGGAGGCTCTATCCTGATGGCTGGGTCCCATTCTCCAGGAGGAAGCACAATCACCTCATCCAGAAACTCGTCAATACCGGCCAGCAAATCTTGTCTGTCCTTGGCCTTATATGCAATGTCATGAAAGACCTGAACACACAGAGGGGGAGAGATGGGGCATTCAAGTGTAAACGACA